CTGAGGGAGCAGAGAGAAATGGGAGGACAACTAGTCCCCTGTGTCTACGCTAATGTTCATCGGGAAATCTCCTGCCGTTACACCCCACTGGTGCTAGCAGTAATGGGAACCCTAGTGCAGACAGTGTTTTACCCCCGTGTCACCTCACCCTGCTCAGAGCAGGGGGCAGGGCAATTCAGCAGCAGGGCTGCCCAGAGGATTTGGGGGCCTGGGGTCTTTGGCGGCGGAGGTCCTTCCGCTCTGGGTCTTCAGGGCACTTCGGCGGCAGGTCCCAGAGCGAGTGAAGGACCCCCACCGCCGAATTGCCGCCGAAGACCCGGAGTGGAAGGAGCTCCGGGAATTCGGCAGCGGGTCCTTCACTCGATCCGGGTGTGTTCGGCGGCACTGAAGGACCTACCGCCGAAAACCCTCCGAAAACTCTCATGGGGGCCCCTGAAAACTCTCGTGGGAGCCCCTGCAGGGTCTGGGGCCTGGGACAAATTGCCCCACTTGCCCCTCCATCTGGGCAGCCCTGCCCAGCATTGCCCTGCCCCCTGCTCTGAGCAGGGTGAGGTGACACGGGGGTAAAACACTGTCTGCACTAGGGTTCCCATTACTGCTAGCACCAGTGGGGTGTAACGGCAGGAGATTTCCCGATGAACATTAGCGTAGACACAGGGGACTAGTTGTCCTCCCATTTCTCTCTGCTCCCTCAGCAATGTCTCCTCCCCACTCCCCCTCTCTCTGGGACTCCACAGGGTTCTGGCCTCGTTCCTGCCTCTTCCCCACCCCCCACCCCATTCCCTGTGTGTGCGACCCGGCCCCATTGCCTCACACGTCATTTCTGTGCTCGGGACTCACAAATCTCCCTTCCCACGTGTGACTCGTCCCCCTCCAGCCAGCACCACGCATGTGGCTGTCTCTGACTCTTCGCTTGGGCGGCTCATTGCCAGCTCCAGCTACGCACAGCCAAGCCCAAACTTCTCATTGTAACTCCTCAGCCCCCTCCACTTCCTGCCTTCTCCAATGCCAGCAACCATGTGGGGGTCATCTCGGACTCCTGCCTCCCCACCACCACCTCCTGCTCCTCTGCTCATTCAGCCTCATCACATCTCGCCACCTCTTACTCCGCAGCACATAGACAATCAGACGCTTCCTGCCTGTCCTGGAGCAACCTGCAGGGAAGCGGGAGGGGGAGCTCAGGCTGCAGGAGGAAGAGTTTGGAGGAGGCACCGGGAGGCCAGTCTGTGGGCACATGATTGGAACCGTCAGCAGCAGCTGCAGCGTCTCTGTAACTAGTTCTCTGAGTGAAGAGCCGGTTTAATTTTGGAGACATGGAATCTCTTCCTGTTCTTACCCAACACACGGTACATGAGACATGGCCCAGTGGCTAAAACATGGGACCCAGCCCTGATCCGCTGTCGCCTTGAGTCCTGTGACATCCTCTGCTTTGGCCGCCCTGACTCCGACCTCCCTCACCTGGAGTCGATGCAAAGTGCAGATACTGAACTCATCCCTCCTTCCTGAGACTTCAACCCCATCACTCTTCTCTTCTAACGCCGTCACCAGCCCCCTCTGCCCCCGGGGATCCCACCAGGAGCTTTGTGTCAGGCTGACCTGTTCCTGCCCAGCTCTGCTGCAGCCGACACGTCCAAACCTGTCTCCCATCCCGCCTTTTGTTTTGCCAGTGACACTAGCCACAACTCCGACATCTGTCTCCGAGCCGACTCCCTGCTGCCCTCAGTCTAGGTATGCAATGATTTCCCAGCTCCTTCCCTACCCGCTCCTGTGTGTCCCCAACGTGACGTGACCCTCTCTGTCTGTGCCCAGCCAGGAGGGGTTTCCCTGAATGCTTTGTCATGTTCACACCACTTCCACCCCGTGCCCAGAAAGGACAGACAAATTCTCCCACAATGCACTGGGATAGAATGAACAGAGCAGCGCTAAGGCCCCTGGGACGTCCCCAGAAGTCTCAGCACCACACACAGTGACTGCAGCTCCAGGGCAGATGTAGCAGCTCGGCCTAGGCTGGCAGTGAGTCCAGTGTTACTTTGCAGTGTCTGTTCTCAGCCAGGCGCTCCCGGAGTACAGATCCCCGGAGTTCACTGTGCAGTGCAGACCAACCTTACGGGAGGCTCTTCGAAGGGGAGAGTGTCTCTGCATCCGGGACCCGTTCAGCAGCCAGCCCATTGCTGCCGATAAATAAATAGTAAATGTTCCTGATTGCTCAGCCAGAGCGCCTCATCTCTGGGGCTCTGTGCATTCCACGCCGCAGGTAAAAAGAAACCCAGTCCCCCCCCCTGCTTCTGGACAGAGGGTGATTTATACAGAGAGGTTCTCCCTGTGCCTCTGCCCCTCGCATAGCGGGAGGGAGGTGCTAGCAGCAGCCAGGGAGCAGATTTGCATGAAGGGGCCGATCTCCAGCACTGGGGGTTTAAGAGCGAATCGGAGGGTTCCAACCACAGACCCGTTTGGAAGCCGAGCTCGTCTGGATTCCCACCATGGCCTGGGCCCCTCTGCTCCTCGCGCTGCTCACTTACTGCTCCGGTGAGACACTATTACATTCCGAAGTTTCGGAACAAATAGCAGTAGGTGTTTTCTTCCGAATCATGCACAGGAACAGCTCTTCAGATTGTCAGCACGGTGGGACTTCAGTAGCAGCTAACCGGTCTTGTGT